ATTTCAAAATCATTAAGTGGCAAGAATTGCTTTATTTATAATGAAACTGGCTTATAGTAGTTCCTGAAAAGTCCTTTTGTTTTGCTGTTGCAGTAGTTTCTCAGAGGGAATTTGACAGACAAGTTTCAAGTAATGTGGATAGTGGTATGGCTTAAAATCAAGTCTGACATTTAGAAAGTAATGCAGAGGCCCTGAGTTTTTGGTTTTTTCCTTTCATGTCCTGGGAGACTTTTGGGTCCTCTGATAGCTTTCTACTTGCTGTCTCTAAGCTTCTGGCAGAGCAGGTTAGTGGATGGCCCTTCTTGAAGGAGGTAGCCTGGCATGTGCTAGTGCCGTACGTCCTTAATGCAGAGCTGAGGTAGCTGGTATGAATGACCAAAGGGCGCGTCGCTGGATCTTTAGCAATATTTGTAGCTTGCGGCCAGCTGCGTAAGTGAGGAGGTTTGGAAAGAGTCAATATTGATCTAGGTTAACATCTTTAGCTGGCTTAATGAAGAAGTTCTAGAGTCAAAATATGATTTTAAGAACCAGTGTTCTTCTGGATATAATTTGATAGGTAACATATCTTAGGGAGTCCCTGTTACCAACTTTATGCTGAAGTGCAAGGCCTTGGATTGTCATTTTGTATTTGAGCCCCTCTGAAGTGCCTATTCTGCAAGTAATACGCATGTCTGCCTTATGTCCTCCTGTGGGTGCACCCAAGGAATCATCTCGTGGTTCCTGAAAATGTCCATCTTGGACAGAACTGTGCAGACGTGCAGGTGCTTTACTGGATTTGCCAGGCGTGACGTGTGACAACAGTAGTGTTACTGTAGTGTTCTGATCGCCTTCATAAATCACTTATACAGTGAATTTAGACCTGTGTAGATGTTATGTTTGACTTGCTTACTCTCGTGACATAGTACTTCACCGCCGTGCTGTGAGTTAAGCTCTGCAACAGCGTAACACCGCGTGTCGCTCTGCAGAGCGGCCGTGCAACTGCGCTGGAAGGTACTGCAGGTAAAACTTGGACCAGTGCTGGGTTTTCAGCGAACCACGACTTGCCAGAGCTATTGTTCTGATGCATCTTTAGAGCGCAGCCTGTAACAAGAAATCAAGTTGACAAGAACAGCCCCATAACTGAGGAAATTGGGACATAGAAGGAAACTTCTCTGACCTCCTCCCTAACCTGATGTTTATGTTGTAGGTTCCCATTTAGTTCTGTTGTGGGGCAATTCCTGTACACTTGATGTCTTTCAAGTGTGCTTCATTCCAGGTTAAGAACATTAGATAAGTTATCCTTCCTATTAATGGGAAATTCCTCATGTCCCAGCATTTGTTTGAGGTTTGAGGCTGCAGCTGCGATTGCTAGACTGGTGTAAGATGAGAAATGGTAAAGGTGGCTTTCTGCATGTAGTATAAAAGGGGCAGCTTGTTTAGTCCCTTCTTGTGAACCAGCAGAGGCAAACAATGTCCATGTGTTTTTTTTTAAATTCTCCTAGTTTTGTCTTTGCACTTTTCTAGTCAGAATCTCTCTAACCTGAGCCAAGTTACTGGTTTCGCTAATCACCTGTGATCCTGTATAGGAAAGCTACAAGTTCGATTAAGCTGCTGAAGGGGCAGTGTGTGGAGCAGCTGGTGGTCATTCAGCAGGGATCATATTGTGGTTCGTAGGCTGCTGAAATAGTTTACATTAAAAATGTGATCTCCTGAGGCAGATAAAACCTGTCCTGTGGTTTCAAATTGGCTGCTGTTTATTTTGGAGGTCTGCAGATAGTGAGATGGCAGGTGTAAGGGTGCTGCCTCAGTTATTCTGTAGCAGGGACTCACTGGTTTTGCTGTCTGAGGGGAGGTTTGAAGATCCCCGTGGACTGGGTGCGGGAAATCAGGGCAGAGTCCATCTAGCCTGTCAAGCGCTGCGCCTCAGCGGGATTTGGAGTGCTGCAGGTTCACGATAATGGGCAGTTGGCAGAGCTGTAGCTAGATGCCTGTGATAAAAGTTTTACAGCTGGGATACTGAGCCAAAAAAGTGCTAACCGTTTGCAGCCAAGAAAGATTGTATTATCCTGCTTTTTCAGCCTGGTTTCTGAGGAGATTTTACCTTTGTCTTGAGTATTAGTGATTTAATTTATGAGTTTTCTTTTTTTTATGGCAAAATTTAACAAAGTATACAAATTACTGAAGTTTTATAGAAACAGATTCAGTGCCAAAGGGGAGGGGAGGGCCTCAAAATAATACCTCTGCTGAAGGGGGAGATACCCGCTGTGCGAGCTAAGGGTATCTGTCCCGTTTGGTTTGCCAGCCAGGCAGCAACAGGGCTGTCAAAGGGCTTGCTTGGGGAGGCAGCGTGCAGGGGCTGGAGGGTGTGAGCTGGGCAGGGGCTGGTTATTCTGTGTGCTGGGGAAGGGAAGGGGTTTCAGAAACATTTGTAGGAAACTGGCTTCCTTAGCTGTAAAGCAGGTTGTTCCCAAAGCAGCAGAAGCTGATAGTTCAAGTGACTTTTGCCTTGTATTTTGAATGGAAGACTGGTAACTTAATACTTCAGACTGATGGTATGTAGTGGCTGAGGCACATCTCCTATAAAACACAGCAGTACCCTAGGCTGCCAGGTATGAGGCTGTGTAAGGCTTTTTCAACCTTACGGTGATCAGGTCTCGAACATGCGTATTTTTGCTTTTCATAAATAGGCCATTTCTGGCTTGACTGGAATTTGCAATAGGGCTGAGAATTATTTTGCCTGATAGGACAGTAAGTTTCACAAAGTGCTTGTAGTTCAAATTCAGGAAATGTCTAGGTGCAGTCAGGAAGGCTTCAAGGTAGGCGGCTGAGCATGCTGATGGAGGTGAAATCCCAGTTCAGAAGTTTAAGATGATTGAGGTCAAGGAGAGCATCTTGGGGAATGACCGCTTTGTAAAAGCCCTTAAGCATCTCCTACAGGTAACTGTCAGAACTGGGGTACTTGACTAGAAAAAACAGTATAGCATTTCTTACAGGAAGTGCATGAGACAATAATCAGACTCCTGGCTAAATGTATACTGTTTCTTTGACTGACAAGCTTGGAACTCTTTTGCTTTTTGAGCTCACACTGCTAACTCTTACAGCTTGTCACTTGCTAAGCATGGCGGATGTTTGCTTGTCCTTTAAAATGGCTCAGGCACTAGTGTCCTCCACGAGGTGCTCCTCGTTGCCTTTCTGCCAGTGGTGTTGTCTCCGCTAAATGATAGTGAAATTTTTAAAGTGTACTCCCGTAATATGCTGTTCTGGAACACAGAGGATGTTCATTTATCATGATGAGAAATTGCACCGGTAGATAGTAAGCTGAAGCATGTATAAATGTGGGAATGCAGAAAAATAAAAAAGAAGCTATTAAATGCAGAATGATACCTTTGTTTGTCTGGCTGTTAAGGCTGTACTTGGTAGCTGGATAGCATATGCTGTGACCGTCTTCCCGACGTCAGACTAAAGAATACATAGTTTTCACTTAAACCCAGGTAAGATTCAGCATGTGGGAGGAAAGTCTTGTCATAGCTGAGATTCTTTGAAACTTGCAGTAGTTCTTTATAACATTCGCTTCTGTCTTGTTGTGTGGAGTTTGGTCTCCCTCGAAGTCCCTCCTTCTCGGGAGCGTGGCTCCCTTAGCTGTGAAGTGCTGCGCTCGCATCTCCACAGCTGCTTTTCTGGATGTTTTGGTATCCATCCTTGCTGCAGTTTCACCCACAAAGCATACTGCGCTCGAACTGGGGCCGTTTGCCTTCCTAAGCTGCAGGGAGGGTGTGTCATCCGCCTTGGCCCCCGCAGCCTGCATAGCCCAACCTTGCTCTGGGATGCCTGGAGGGGGAGAGGCACTCTTGCGCTGCTCCCCCGCAACTCTTTGACCCTGGGCGGCTCTGGGCTGCGAGGCATTGTCCCTGTCGTAAAGCAAGTGAGGGTCTCTTCTGTGCTGGCTTGAAGCTTTATGTTTGCACCTAAGTTTCCCTTGACAAGATTTGAGACAGAACTTGTTGAAAGTATGTTTGGTTTTTGTACGGTTTATGGAACAAACCTGCTTCCTAGGAAGTGGTACCTAATTCTCTGCCCAGTGTCTTGGGGAGAAGGGCACAAGACTTGGGCATGTTAGTTACCTGCAGACAGGTCGTAGCTTTGAATTACGGTGAATAATTTGAATATGTTTTGAAAGCATTGCACAGTTGGTAGTGAGGTTATATTTTGGAGGTTGTAGTAAATTGTACTTAGCGTGGTACCTTTCTCACGTGAGGAAACTGCTTGTACTGTGGTGGTAGCCTTCTGCTGGTCCCAGTATGTCAGCAACGCCCCTGTAGCGTGCGCAGAACAAACCAGTGCTGCGTCTCGGTTTGGTACAACTGTTGCCTCCAGGACAAGCAGCTGTTTGGGAACTGCGCTTCTGTCGGCATAAACGTAGCACGCTAGCATTTTCTGCCGCAACAGCCGCGAGGAATCGCGGGGTTTTGACATAGTCCTGTGGCAGTTAACCTGATAACATGAACCTCGCCGTGCATTTATGTCGCGCTTGACTCCACGCTCCAGAGGTGTGCTGGCAGGTATCCTAACGTTCTCTTGGAAGTGAATTAAGTTGCATGTTGAAGTAGTGTTAACTTCTCTTTATGTTTTCAAGTGACACTCAAATATGGTCCTCGCTTTGCTTTTACAAATAATGGGGTGATCTGCCTCAGGGCATCGAATGAATGATTTCTAGCACAACTACAGTTGGTAATACTGCCTTTTACCCCTACTGTGGCAGCAGTTTTGTAGGGCTTGTGCCACTTGCCACCTTACCACTAAAAAGCTGGAAGTCACTTGTGTGGTTAAGGTTCAGAATGTCACGCTGTGCAAGGGCGCTAACAAATGCGATCTGGGAATCTTGTTACGTTACCATCCCCAGCCTGTCTGCCTGAGAGATGGGGGTCCCCAGCCTGTCTGCCTGAGAGATGGGGGTTCCCCCAAGGTGGTGAATGATCAGGAGCAGCCCAAGTGCCAACGTCTGTTCTGATTTGCTTGCCGTGATGCCAGCGAGGTCAGTGCTGGCAGAGCTGGTAACAACTCGTTGCCAAGTCTTACTCTTTTCCCTTAGCTGTATAGTGAGCGTGTGTCCAAGGTGCTGTGGTGGAGAGAACTAAAGCTGTCGTTGGCGGAAGGAAGTGTTTATTTGACAGAAGAGCTTTAAACTACAACCCTAGGAAGCAGACATGGTATTTGGTGAAGTTGCTGCTGTGTGAACTTGGTGGTTTCTGGTGTGTCCAAGAAAGGTGTGCCTAGTGCACCCCCTGTTGCAAGCTGCTCAGTTTTCCGGGATAGCTCCATATAGGACTGCAGTGGTCACGTCAGAATATATAGAATCACAGAATGGTTAAGGGTGGGAGGGGAATCAAAAAACATATCAAACTAGATGATCTTTAAGGTCCTTTCCAACCCAAACCATTCTATGTTTCTATGATTCTATCTGGTTCCAACCCCCCTGCCATGGGCAGGGACACCTTGCACTAGACCAGGTTGCTCCAAGCCACATCCAGCCTGGCCTTGAAGACATCCAGGGATGGGGCATCCACAGCTTCTCTGGGCAACCTGTCCCAGTGCCTCACCACCCTCTCTGTGAAGAATTTCTTCCCGATACCTAATCTAAACCTCCCTGATTTCAATTTGTACCCGTTACCCCTTGTAACGGGTCCTATCACCACTTGTCCTATCACTAATACGTATTTGTTTTTTCCAACAGTCTTGAATCGAACATGCTGATGTAAAGCAATAAACGCCCAACTACAAGTTAACTAATTTCACTGTTTTACAGATGGGGTCGAGGATTCGGTCTGCTGGGTTCTGTCTTTGGAAAGGACAGTGCAATAAATCAGTCAAACAGTGTTTTTGGACTCGTGTTTTATATACTACAAATGCTACTTGGTAAGTAAGAATTCAGTTGAGAGTCTAAAGTATGCAACAGCTCTGTGGTGATGAGGAGTGGATTATGCATGTGCAGTCTGCAAGACCAGATAAATGCATGTGACGTGTAGGTGTTTTAGCACCAGTCTAATGATACATCTGTCCAAAAGGCTTAGAACCCCAACTGATAACACGAGCAATTGCGTTTTTTTCCTGCTATGCTATTAATGTAATATCAAGACAGTTGCTGCACTGGTATTTTCACTTCGATATGTTTATTGGACTGCACAGTAGAAAAGAGAGGAAATAAAAATGAGTTAAGAGGTTTTGCAGGAGTAATCGAGATAGCAGGCTGAAAGGTGCATGAAATGTAATGTATGCCTGTGTCTCCGTAACTATATGGTCTGCTGTGAAGTTGTTCATATTGCTAGACATAACTTGACCAGGTTTTGAGCAACCTGGTCTAGTGGAAGGTGTCCCTGCCCATGGCAGGGGGGTTGGAACTAGATGATCTTTAAGGTCCCTTCCAACCCAAACCATTCTATGATTCTATGACCAACCTGTAACTTTCCCATAACTCGGGAATGCAGAAGATGGTAAACACTACACACACTTCTTATCGAAGGACTGTCGTACAGAACCTAGAAGCTGTCCTCCAAATAGCGATTTGTCAGCCAGCTTGAACTCGTGGTATTTTACACAGACTTTTACAGAATGCCAACGTGCTGAGTAGCCTTCAGTTTGAGTTAGTGTGCTTAGGCTTTTGGATTGTGTGGAAGGGGGGGATGAGAGCTGCGGTAGTAACTTTCTCTCTCTTGTTGCAGGTATGACAGCAAGCGCAGTAGCAGCTCTAATCCTCATGACCTCCTCCATAGTGTCTGTAGTAGGGTCATTGTACTTGGCGTACATTCTGTACTTCGTGCTGAAGGAATTTTGCATTGTCTGCATCATCACCTATTTGCTGAACTTCATTCTCTTTATCATCAACTACAAACGACTAGTTTATTTGAACGAGGCCTGGAAACGGCAACTCCAGCCCAAACAGGAATAACGCCTGTTTGAACTTTTGACTGACAGTCTGAAGATCCAACTTCCATTAAGTTTATTTTGCAGTAACTTTTTATTCTCCATATCAGACAATTTCCCCAAGAATTATAACGGAATTTTTAATTATAAATTTGAAGGGGCCCTAAATAATTTTTTGTGCTAATCTTCAGTTTAAATGTGGTTATGAAAGAAAGCTCTAATACAATCAAAGACAAGCTTTAACTTTACTTTGAAGGAGTCTCAGCCACCGCAAAACCTAGACTTGCTCTCTTCCCCCTCCACCTGTGAAGTGGGTAACACTTGCTTTCAAATCTCCTGTATATAAATTCAGGTATAACAAGATGTGGTCATGACATTAAGTATTCTAGACTAGCATTGCCATATTTAATGTTGCCATGTTTACAGTACGTGTATTACTTTTTTTTTTTTTTAGCTGGTGGACTTAGATTGGACGGGGACTTACACTGTAAATAAAACTAGATGTACTGGTTTCATCCCTGGCAAACTCCCCGTACGATCAGTTTTGTTAGCCTAGGGGCTGTCAGTGTTCAGCTGTCGACTGACACGATGGAAGAAACGACCTCTGTAGAGAACGCCGCGTTGCTGCCCTCTCTGCTAGTGCTCTCACAAGAATGAGGGTTTGGGTTTGTTCCATTTTCCTTTTTTTGGTCTCTAGTAACGGAAATGGAATTTAAGCTGAAACCTGAAGTATGTTCATTAAACCACAACGTCATTAATTTCAGTACAGAATGAAACAGCTTAATGTGGTCAGTAGGAAGCTGCCACCGGGATATTGTATGCAGATTGGGGTTGGTGTATCGAAGAGAGTCCTTTGAAAGGACCTCGTTTCCATGCAGAGCTGTTCCCTTTTTAAACTGCCGTCAGCCAGCCAGTGTTACAGTGTTTGATGTTCTATGAATGCTGCAGTACGGAGCTGCAATTTGCAGTGGAAACCACTGACTGAGTGGGATAACCAAGTAGTGCACTGAAGAAGCAGTTACTTAATTGATCTTCGTCAGGATCTTTTTGGTTTGTGCTATATTGGGAAATGAACTTTAGGCCTGACACACATCCCTTGGAAGGGAAACCTCTTCAGTGGGATAAGTGCGTAAATGGTCTCCTGAAAGTGAAATGTGATACCATGCTATGATTGCTCTTTCTAATAACTAATTGAGAAAAAAGTTGAACTGCAGATTTAAACAAAGGAACAAAATTGTAAATGCTGTTACTGCACTCAGTATTCTAAGGCTGAATGTCAAAAGTGCCTTCTGTCTTAAAATCTTAAACCAAATACTTTGTGTTGAACTGGGCAGGCAGAAGTGTCCTTGCTTTAAAAATGAACAAACAAACAAAATTCCCAGCAAACTTGCTGGAGATAGAAGAGATGTGTTTTAGTTTTTAGACTGAGAAGTGGTAACAGTATTGTTTCAGTTAAATTGATGCGATATAAGGTTGATGACTTGATTCAGAAACCTAAAATACTTGTGTTTCAGACTCGGTGACACCAAAATGTACAGGTTCAGCTAATTCTGTAATTGGTGCTGTGCTGCTTTTTGCCCTTGTCAGCTTCTAAAGATGAAGAATTCCAACTGCGTACCCTTTTCTTTAAAGAATTAGTTTAATTTTAGGATTTTTTCTTAAATATGAATGTCAGAGACACTTCTGTTGTACGGCTAAGTGGATTATAAACACTAAGTTGCTGAGGATAAACTTGACTGTGAAACATGCAGTGTTCCGTAGAGAAAATAGAATTTTTAGATTGAATTCAAAAAATAGTATTTAAATTACTGCTGAAGTAATTTTCTGGTTTGTGTCAAGGATGTAGGTGGAAACTGCTTTTATGTATAGAGTTCTGTGGTATGAGTAACATCTGTTGCATGTAACACTAAATTACTTGTCCCTCTTGTCTAACAGTTTTAGACGGCAATTCATTAAATGCGTTTTGTATTGACCAGAGTAGAGTTAAAGCTTGTCTTGATGTTTAGTTCTGTCTCTCGAATGCCTGGAACTTCAGTGAGAGGAGCGAGTGATGTTCAGCGGGTCCCTCAAGCGTCGCTTTGGTTCTCTCACAGGCCTTGAGGCACCATCGCTGTTTAGGATGTTGTATACCTTTATTTTGATGAATTCCTGTGGTCTACACTAAGGCATCTTTTTCAGCCGAGGAAGAGGTGAACACGTGCTGCCTGAAACGGTCAGTCACAGCACGAAGGCCTCAGCGCGAGCGTCGGCGGAGGCAAGCTTAATCAAGGATTACTTGGTCCAGTTTCTGGGCGTAGTGCACACCGGAAAAAAAGCCCCATCAGCTGAAAGCAGAGGTGTTGGCAAACTTCACTGTGTCTTGTGCTTGTCTGTGTGGGCATAGTCTGTAATTCAGTTCCTTCAGTAAAACGTTAGGGCCAGGTTTTCAGCAGCCACGTCTGCAGGTTGTGTGCACGTAGGGCTCAAATGGAAAGAGTTTGGTCTCTGGAAGAACTCACAGCTACACTGTGCACAAACTTGCAAGTCTGATCCTTCAAGCTTCAAGCCTCTCCTTGGGCTTGTTCAGCCTGGAGAAGAGGAGGCTCCGAGGAGACCTCATTGCAGCTTTCCAGTATCTGAAGGGCACCTACAAGGGTGCTGCGAGAGGACTTTTTACAAGGGCCTGTAGTGATAGGACAAGGGGTAATGGGTACAAATTGAAATCAGGGAGGTTTAGATTAGATGTCAGGAAGAAATTCTTCACAGAGAGGGTGGTGAGGCACTGGGACAGGTTGCCCAGAGATGTTGTGGATGCCCCATCCCTGGAAGTGTCCAAGGCCAGGCTGGACGAGGCTTGGAGCAACCTGGTCTGGTGGAAGGGGTCCCTGCCCATGGCAGGGGGGTTGGAACTGGATGATCTTTAAGGTCCCTTCCAACCCAAACCATTCTGTGACTCTATGATTCAAAGTGAAGTCTCCTGTCTTGTGTGCTTTTCTTGCCATTACCTTTTATGGGAAGGGATTTGCTAGAAATGGCCCAAACTCTCCTCCTTCCTCTTGTGCTTCAGAAACGCAGCTGGACTGGATAAAGGGCAAAGTAATCTTGGCAGCAGAAATTTGGACCCTTTTGCTTCCAGTTCTTCGACTGTTTCCCTGTTGCTCCGAATGCCAGAAACAGCTGGCTCAGGTTAGTTAATCATGTGATGGAAATCAGAGGAGTGCTTCGTGCAGCGGCCCCCAACCAGAACCAGTGTTGTGGCAAGTGTGGGGTTGATAGTAATCTGAGCCTTACAAATCTGAAAGCAAATTCTGGTAAATGGTGAGGATACAGGAGTATGGGTCAAAAAAGCAAGTAAATAAGGGACCGTGGGGGGCAGTATCACTGCACAGATTCTGGTTATGGTTTCAACACCCATGAGAACGGAGGGAAAACATTAATAACCTACGAACTGTGGTTCTGAACTGGGGCATTCACCCTGTCCTGGCTCTCAGTTCTGCAAGGAGGGGCAGATTGGAAAGGCAAAAGAACCTCATCCCAAAACCTGCTTAGGAATGAAACATTCCTGAAATCCTCTTGCTGTAAGGTACTTGCTCCTCTTAAGGCCAATGAAGCATCCAAGTCTCGTTTAGGAAATTACTGTTCTTAGTTTCTTACTGTGAAGTGTTTGCAGTGCTAAGGCCAACGAGACATTCCCCACCACCTCTGATACCTAAAGTGACAATAAATATCTCCTTAGATTTCAGCATACTGTAGCTGGCGTTTGTCTTCTGGACGGAGTCTCAGTTGCTCCAAAGGATTGGGGGGTGCTTCAGGCAGCGCTTGATGCTCCTCGTTCACAGGGACCTGTCAGCTTTGGTTCTGCCAGTGTCGTTCAAACATGATCTAGACAAAACTGGTCCAGAACAGGTGAAGTATTCTGTTGCCATAAAACTGTATGAAGCATGGCCTGAATGTTAGGTGTGTGTTCTGTATAGTATGTTCCATCAACTATTTATTACTCGTGCTTTCAACTCCAGGTTAAACGCCCATTTACGTGGAGCCATTGGGCAGATGTTCCTTTGATCAGCGTAGGTTGAGAGATTCTCGACTGGAGGTTTAGGGTTCAGTTTTGCTGACAGGTGAAACAATGTAAATATGTACGAATTCTGTTTGTCGCACCTAACTTTTTGGTATAAAAAAAATAAATGTAGAAATGACTTGTGGACGTCTTGCTGCAATCATTCTTGGGCTGCATTCATGCAGTCCAGACGAAAGAGCTTGAACGAACGCAAACAGAGGCCTTTTTGGACTCAGTCTGAGCCTTCAAAACTGTTTCTGAAGTCACTGTTTCTGTGATTGTTTGAGAAATGTGCCATGTTGTGATTTTTTTTGTCAGATGTGTGTTCGCAGCAGAGGGGTTAAAGCACTTGGGTCCCCAGAGATAACAGGTTACGGAATTTCTGCAGCTTCGTGTCTTGCTGGCTGTCGTGCGCACACGGGTGTGTAAAGGCTGAGCAGCACTGACTGGAGGCTTTACCTGTTTACAGTTCTCCTAAGCAACATGCAAAAAACCCGTTAGGTATGTTATTTTTATCACTTCCTGCTTCCCTTGGTTCTGTAGGGCTGCTTTACCTCCACGCCACAAGATGATGAGCTGTCTGGAAACTGCTGTATGTTTTCCTGGAGTTGGGGGAAAGGAGGGATCTTCGGAGAAGGGTTGGATAGGCAGCGTGGGTTTACGATTGCACTGAGCTGTTGAGAACAAGCAGGAACTGAGGCAGAAATGTGCGTTTTCCATATGTGTGGACATGAAACTGCATCTCTTCTGCTGGACTGAATGAACGTAACGGCTTTCTCTTTGCGGCTGCGAGCCCGGTGTGTTATCACGGGGATCTGAGCCCTAGCCTGTCATGCGGCAATGTCAAGCCTGTCTGTGTCTTGATGTGGCGGCTGTTGGTATGTCGTGGCTGTTGAAAGGGGGAAGAAAACGGTTTGAGAAAGGATTGTTTAGAGGTGGAGAATTTGAAATGGCTTTCAAACACTGGCAGCGGGCCTGAGTGTGGTATCTGCTCTTATTCCATGGGGCACTTGAGCAAGGGTCTTGATATTCTGTGTTTTTAGTTACGTGGAAAATCTGTACACCCAACGTGGTATAACCATAAGGAATGTTGATAATGTGTGTCGTCTTGTCCCTTAAATGCTCAAGAAAAAACGTTTTGGAGTCTGCAGTAAACACGTCCTCGTTCTGCATGTGGCAGTGTGGAAGGTGGTGTTGCTTTCCCATGGACCACTTCGAAAGGAAAGAGAATGTAACCACTACACAAGAGCAGAAACTTTCTTTACATTGCCGGGTGTTGTGGTCACTTTCTTGGGCCAGCTGCAGGAAAAGGAGCCACAGCAGCAGCTTCGCACAGTACCTGTGAATAAGGATAACGGCACCACGTAATTGTGCCAACTTCCATGCTTCAGTAGGCAGCCTCCAGTTTTGTAGTTCTGCTGCAGGCACTCTTGGCACAGCCCTGGGATGTTGCAATAGGAATTTGCAAACCAAGTGTTCTGAGCTCCTCTGAGGATATTGGCGTAACCTGTTACCCTCTAAAGCCTGGCCTTTAGAGTCCTCCAGAATGCTGTGTGGCCTGAAAGGGACCTTTCAGCACTCATTACTGTCTTCAGTAGTGTGTGCACGTTAATTTACACAGCACCCCACCCCAGCATGCTTCAGGCCAGTATTGAAAAGGTTCAGATCAAACTTACCCTCTGTACTGTTCCTGCTGTAGTA